CTAAAAATACGGTAAATATTAATACATATACACACAATTCTAGTGTAAGTTTTATAAATCTCAAACTAGTGAGGGAGAAATGTCGCAAGTTACATGTTTGACTGCACAATGCGACCTTCATTATTCGAATTGTTCTATCCGTTTTATTCGGATAAAAATGTACTTTATACCGTTAAATTTCAGCTATGTGATGTTTAAAATATGTAGAGAAATATAATTGCATACGAAGAAATCAACTTAATTCATGTATAATACTTAAAGAAGTGCATAACGACTATTTCGCAATTTTTGACAAATATTATTTACAAAATTTTATTTCGACAAAACTGTTGCATTATGGCAAATCATCTTAGTGCAATCATTGCAGGATCATCGTTATTCATCGCTATTTTTGTGCAATATTTTTACAAATTGTCTATTAGGGTATATACTTATGGAAATGCATAACGACTTTTTTGCAATTTTTGACAAGTATTATTTACAAAATTTTATTTCGACAAAACTATTGTGTTATGGCAAATCATCTTAGTGCAATCATTTCAGGATCGTCGTTATTCATGATGCCATTTTTGTGTAATATTTTCACAATTTGCCTATTAGAGAACATTTCTCGGAATAATATGTTATTCGAGTTTCCACTTACTTTTGTTCCTTGACAATTAGCTGACTTATTTTTTCATTAGACGCTATTTATATTGAATTTTCTACAAAATGTAACTATTAATTTCAATTATTCACTATATAATCTATGTGTATCACTACATAATTTGTGTACCATATAGGGATATAATAAATAAAATTTAACCTTCTGTCTGCATAATGGGGATTTTAGTCCCCAAAAAAAAGTCTAATTTTTTCGTACTTTTTACTTCCGAATTTTTATTTGTCTTGCAAAAGTGTCGCTTCTACTTAAAGCAAAGATAAAGTATCAAAATTTTCTAAGGTTTTTTTAAAGCCTACAGCAATAAAAAAAGTTATCGTTTTTCAGACCGCGATACGAAGACGGCGTTAGTAAAAAATTTTGCAGACGGAGAAGGTTACTTACAATAGTACTTAGTATCTTGATTAAACTTCATTGATAACCATTTTCACTATCTTTTCTTCCGACTATATATGACACCGTTGCAAAGATATCACGTTTATAAAAATTTTTTTTAATATCATAAATAATAATATATTAGTTTATTAAAATTTATAGTCTTAAATCGTTAAATGTTATTTCTTTGTATTTTGTAATATATTAAGAATATATATATATATATATATATATATATAGATTATTTTATTTCAAGTACACTTTTCATATATATTTGCATTAAATTTTATTTTTGACCATTATACTTACTTCGATTATTTTCTCCTTTTTTGTACAATGTAACGATCTGGACTTTGCATTAGTGCAAAATATCAGCAATAAAATGACTGAATTTTGTGAAAAAATCGATTGCACAATCTACAATAATTATGTATAAACTTTATTGAACACAACGCAGGAATTTGGAAAAGTACCTGATGAAATCTTTATACACACTGGAAATGATGTGCTATGCGCTGCTATATGTTAGACTGATATATTCAACGTAATGTCAGCTTGATTTACAGCACTGCAGATAAAACGCTTCAACTCACAAAGTTCTGCAAATAGCCAAGAATCCTCTGTCCGCCAAAATTAATTTCATTAGTGATATCACCAATTACTTGTTTGTCAAAACTTAGCATTAAAAACTATCTTCGTAATTAATATGAATAGGTGTATCTTTCAGCTGAAGAGATATACCGAAGAAAGTGATAGAAAGTTTTGTTTTCAATTTTTTGTTAATGTAAAATGTTTCTTTTATTGTATATTAAATATTCATATTGTAGCTTAAGTATTCATAATTTTATTATACAGTCTTGTGTACAAATATAACATTTAATCGTTGTCTACGCTATACAATAACCACTCAGTTAACTGTTTTATCTTTTGTTGTTTCTCACTGATACTGCACTCGCCCAATAATTTCTTTAAGACCTGCACTTCATCCGGCTCAAAAGTTTTTGTAGGATCCAAAGGATTGATAGTCATGCTCGGTAAGGTAACATCATAATAAAGAAAAATCTAGAAAATATAAATACTAATATCGCAGACATCGTATTGAATTTATAAGTTAATATGTACAATTTATTTTTTAGGAACCTTGTTGTTAAAAGTATTATACACCAAACTAGGAGTGGATGCTCCCGGAGTCACACTGTAATTCCCTGTACAAAATGCTCTGACTGGCTCCTCGAATTGGAAACGTACACTGCACCGATGCTGGTCCAAAATATATGTCTGACCATCCCAAGCACAGGCAATTATCTCATCAGATTTATCACCTGTAACGTCTAGTCGACATAGAGCAAATATCTGATGATCTACTTGCATAGCCCTAAGAAAACAACATCTTACACATACAAATAAAATAAAATATATTTAAATATTATATTATACTATTATACTGTTTACCATAAGATGACCTCATCCTGAACTAGCATGATAGTTCCGTCAAGTGTCGCTAAAGCATAAGGTTTTCCTTTTTTTGAATCCTTTTCATCAGTAATCGTGTCATCTGTTTTTTTATCTTGTTTTTCATGTTTTGCAGTAGTGGTGTTGATACTGTTTCTATTGTTACTTGTACACGCTTCAGCAATACATGTATTAGAATTGTTATTACTGTTGTTTTTATTATTGTTGGTAATACTATGTTTATTATTGTTATTGCAGAGAAAATTCTTAAAAGGGGGTAACGTTTCCTTTGCAACATTTTTATCAAATTTTCCAAGAATAACTTTACTACCAATGAAGTTGCCATCCACTTCATCAGTGCTCGAGGAATCGACAGGAGTATAAAATTTACCTGTTTCTTGACTTCGTATCGCAAATTCTGTAACATATTCGTCTGTCATATCCAAACTACTTTTACGAATTACAGGTTGCGAGTAATTTCTTCTAAATTCGAGCGACGTGGCCTTGAAGGTTTTTATATCCAACTGACTGTCATCAGCAAAACTTTGCTTTGATAACTTATTTTTAGACATGTAATTAGGCAATTTAGGTTCAAGCGTCGAGATAAATGACGTTCTTCCAGGTTCTAGATCTCCGATAATGTCCGTTGAAATATTCGGATTGCGCATTCTAGATATTCCTAACGTTTGATAATCCACGGCTTCACACGAACAATCTTTTGTGTGACAGCCCTCCGACTTACATTTAATTCGCATGAATGTACCACCAGGTTGTGCAACTAACAAAGTTGATGTACCATCGCCAGTATGCTAAAACAAAAACAAACTTTTACATTACTCTTCATTTTCCATTATTTATATTAAAATTAATTGTGAATATTTATAGTAAACACTACAACAATTTAATTCGTTATACCTGTAGTTATATTGTTTATATTGCGAGCGTTATATTGTGTTGATTATTAATTCGTTATACCTGTAGTGTAACTGTTCCTATCTGATTAGTGCATTCCCATTTATTTAAGCCGACTAGTTTTCCTGTTCCTAAATCGGCATTACTTGACCATCTGTAAGATCTAACAACACGATCTGTCAGACCAAGAATCATCTCGTTAGCACCATCTCTATCAATATCAGCTATCAACACTATCTTTGTGTTAGTTGGTATTCTTTGTACATGTACACATTCCATTTTTCCAGACAGTTCGTTTATTTCACTAAGATTATTACTGTAGTCTGAACTTTGAGAATTTGGTAATTCTGTATACATACATACATATTTATTTATTTATATATATATATATATAGTTTAATGTTGCACTTTTACTATTCTGTGGAATATATATATACACACAAATGCTAATAAGCAATAGTGTTAACCCACACATCGCTATTTTGAGTAAATTATGCCTTAAGATTAAAAAAAAAAAAAAAAAGATGTTTGTTTATATAATTTTTTAAGATGTTTGTGTATTTTTATATTATATATAAAAATTTATATTATATAAATATAAAAACATTTAAGTTTTTAGAAATACTATTGAAAAACGTTCTTTAATAGCTAAAGCACATTACATAAATATCTTAATATTTCATTTTTTGTGAGTTGACACTGTATTGCTTATTAGCGTCCAAATATCTTATTATATTTTGAAACATTAGACGTACCAATACTTGCTTTAAAATTATCTTGTTCATGTTCTTGTTTATTATTAGGATTGACAGATCTAGGACTATAAAATATATGTGTCCATCCATCGCCACATATCACAACTAATGCATTACGTCCATAATTAAAAATATCTCCAATTGCTATGCTGGTTATAAGACCAAGGCCTGCGATCTTCTGCCATAATTCCAATCCCTGTTGTAGAAAAAGATATGTACATTATCTATAGTTTTAAGATATATCTCTTTTTATCAGTGTATATCTAATATATTTACTTTAAATATATAAAGTTCTCCTTCAGCTGTACCAACAACTAATTCATTATCACAATCATTATCAACATCTCCTATTGTTAAGCCATGTCTGGAAATAGCAACAGATAAGTCTTGTTGTTTATCAAGTAAATAATTTTAACTGTTAAACTTACCTGCATACAGTACCAGGTAATTCCCAATGTAATCTCTTTACAAAGTTAACAGCTCTCATGGTTAGGTTTTGTGGATTATAGTTGTTGCCACCGGTTTGGTGGCCAAACTATATGAGTAGCTTTTGCAGTTACTAGACCTAGAGAGATTGGTCCAAAGATATTAGAGTCCATAGAATGACCAACATGGTCTCCTTCTAACCAGCAGTGTCCTTCCGGTATCTACATTCCAACATTGTGGTTATGATTTGTATAAATATTGGTAAATACACAATAAAATACAAATTTGTACATGTATAAACAAAAAAACTTATCCATACTTCGAGAACACTGAGCTTATAGCCACGAGTATCTACAATATCTCCAGCAAGCCCTGTGACTCGTTTGATGAGTGTCTGATTTGGCACTTTGGGAGATATGACACACACTATGTCACCGTGTTGTATATTTTGATTTCGAATAGCCCAACGATTCAAAAATACGTAATCGGGATATCGCAAATCTGGATTCAGTGCAGGTTGCATGGAAACTCCTTCTACCCTAGCTACATATCCGACAGTGTCGCAAAAAGCGATCCCGATTGGGATGCCTATCAGGACATTACGAACGAAACGGGAAAGTCTCATCTATCAACTTTGGAACTACACCATGCTAGGTGTTTTTGTTCGATGTGCTTTAATGCTTTTATAGTCAATGAGAATAATTTGTTATTATGTATGTAGCCAATATAATTGTTACTTTTCTTTCTTGTTTTAAATATCCTGTATTTTTCACCACTTTCAGCATCATAAAATATTTCGTACCCAATTTTGCTAGCATTTATCAATATTCATTAACATATAAGTCGGAACAGAAATGAACATAACAAGTACTATTTATAAATTTCTACAAAGTGGAAACAAATAAGAAAAAAACAAAGATTTTATATAGCAAATTTGGTAAAAATCGATGGCTACGTTTCAATATTCAGTCTCGGTACTGGGAATCTATAGCACAAGCACCGAGCACATGTGACGTATAGGATGCGGTCCGATTCATGCTTAAGCGTATATTTATCTATCTATAGTATACGTGACATATACTACAGATAAATGCGCGATTAAGCACGAAACGGACCGCAGCTACAGAGAGCACTGAACCACAGTCTACGGCTAGTATTACATTTGTCGTACGACAAAGATTTTAAATATATTGATTGGCTACCAAATAGAGTTCTTTATAAAACTCTATCTGATAACCAATCAACATACTTAAAATCGTTGTCGTACGACAAATGTAATATTAGCCTAACCATACCCAGTTGCGACAGTGAGTGTCGGCATCTTTGATGTAGCTGTCCTCAAGTCACGTGGTATGACGCCATATTGTTAGATGTACCGGCGCTAGATCTCAAATGTAGATATGTAACAAAACATTTTTTTCTGAGCA